GACCACGTCTGCAGGATTAGGCTTACTGCTCTCGAAATTGGGCGCGTGACCTACCTTATCGTACGTTGCGCGCTGTGCTGCAGCAGGTTCGCTTCCCTTTGTCAGCGCAAGCGCGTTCGCTGTGTTCGCCGCAGCGTAGTCCACAGAACTCGGCGACACAGATTGCGCGCTGAAGGCATTCTTCTCTTCTTTGGTGACGTCATCGGACCGCGACTGTGTCTTTTCGGTCACTGAACTGACAGGCGCCGGAGTAGTTGTCGTTGAGTTCTCTGCTTTTCGCCTTATCCAACGGAAGAGAATCTCGCTTTGCAAAAAGTTTTTGAGCTCGCCCAGCATCTCGGAGTCCTCTTCCACGTTTTGTAGGGTGTAGCCGCCCGTTTCCTGGACCAAGGTCGCGGGCATGTAGTCCGCAAAGTTTTCGAGTTCGTCTGTCAAGATGGCGTAGTAAGAGCTGAGAGGGATGCTGATGCTGTCTTCGGAGTTCGGAATTTCGAACGTAATGAGCTCCGCGCCTGTATCACGGTACTTTTTGTCAAGCTGCACGAATTTTGGCACTGTTTGCACGGGTCGGAAAGGCGCAATCGACGGGTCGAGTAAGTGCACCAGCCAGCCCCTCAGTGTTTTGTGCACCAACTCTACGTTCTCTAAATGGTTGTATAGGTTCGTCGCAACTTTGGCGGATGTTTCCGAAATCACTCGGTCTGTAGGAAGCAGCTCGTCTGACGAAAGCAAATCCTTTATAAAGCCGGCTACGCGGTTCTTGAATTTAAGCCCGAAGGCCGATACCAGCTTTTCGTAGGTTTCTGGCGCAAGCAACTCGCCGACAATCTGCGGAAGCATCGCGTCGCTCAGGGCGTACTCGTTTTTCCCGGTGAGCGAGCGCAGCATGCTCGCTTCGAGGCTTAACGCTAGAACTATCAACTTCGTAATCTTCATCTTTCCAGACAATTTGCTATGTTGCGTGTCTCAAAACTTTTCAACCAGCGGCAGAAATCCCATGACCCCCTAGATCAATTTCTGAAAAACGTAACGCATCACGAATCAGTTTTCTCTCCGAGAAAGTGTTTAGTGAGCAAGCTTCCAGCTTCGTCCAAAGCTCGCAAAGCGAACAACGTGTAGATGTTTTCGATCTCTTTCTGTGCGTCTGCAGTAGCGTGAATCAGTTTCTTCACTGGAAACAGAAACTCCACCTGCGCCTTGACGCTCTCTAAAAACTCGTCGGCGTTAGATGCGTGCGCCTCTTTTGCAGCAATGATAAAGTCGGCCAACAGCTCGAGCTTCTTGTTCCACGCTTCAACCATCGTGTTCCTCGTTGTCAGATGCAATCCGTAAATCAGATCTTCTACGTTCGCTTTGAAAGTGACTGTGGCCGAGCAGCATGCGAGTATCGTGCTCAGAGTGATGAATCGCGCCCGCATTTTTATTTACTCTGCAATTGAGCCTTTGTAGTCGTTCTCCGAGGTTTTCACCGTAGACGCAGTCCGGAAAAAAATAGTTATTCGTCCTCTCCGGAAAACCTCAGAGGCTCCGAGCTCGAGTCGCCGCGCAAAAAGTTTTGCGGCTTCTCGAGAAAATTGGGAACCTCTGGCAGCTTCGGAATCACTGGCGGGTTTGGAAGCGCATTGTTCGAGCCGTTTCTCAGAAGACCGCCGTCGATTATCGCTTTCGTGACTTCGACGAAAGCTTCGATGATTTTAGTTGTTACCCCTTCAACCGGGAAGACTATTTGCAGAAACTTCGCTGTGTTGTCGGTAAGATGGTTGAACACATCGGTCAGACTGAGTTCGTACTTGTTCAACGCCTTCAGGAAAATCTCATTGTAAGTGCCGTTTGCGGTAGCGTGAACAATCTGTTCGAGCGGATTCTCAAAAGTGATCTCAAACGCGCGGCTTAGTGGAACAGCCAGCATTCCGAAAGAAATTGCTCGCACCAGACTCACCATTATCGTTGCGAATTCGAGAGATCCCTTGGGATTCGCATGGGTCAGATTGACTTTCCCGCGCAAAGTGACGCGGCTTCTTTGATTCGGCTGCTGGAGCTAGATTCGCCGCTGCGCAAGCTGATACTCCGCCACAGTGCACTCCTGCGGCGAGGCGTCAAGGCGTTCAGGCCACACGTCGCAGCGCGTCCCGCCTAGCAAAAGTTGCGCAGCAGCTCAATGCGGCTGCGATTGCAGCGCCGGAATGAATGGTTGAATCAAACTACTAGTATGTAGATATTTCACGCGGAGCTATCAATTTGCCACTATTTGCGACTGAACGCGTAGCGGGCCGCAAATTGGAAAACAGAAAATCATGTGCGCAAGGAAAACCTCGACATGAAATCAACTTCACTGCTTGCCGCACTGACGCTCCGTTTTGCCAGTACCGCAGCGCGGCCATCAATCCTTGTGAAGTCAATTGAAGAACTGGCTGCGCCGAGGAAAGTGCTGCATTCATTAATGCAAGCCGCCAACCCAACTGCGGCAGGGCAACGCACCGCGCTTCGCGCAGGCGGACTCAGCTCCGTGGTCGCGATGATCAATCCCCTTTCGCATCTGCAACGAGCGATTTTTCCGATGCAGCAGTCTTACGAATCCGCAGTCGGAGCGTACGAGCGCCCTCGCGCGTCGATGTTGTACAAACTAGACTCTGCAAGCGACGCTTCACCGGTGCAACCGGAAATTCATGCGGATTTGTTGAAACGGTATTTCGTGTTCGAGCCCATGACTTTGCTTATGTACGAGATGAAAAATGAAGCGTAAAAAGTCGCGCTTACCAGCACTCCGCCGCTCGAAGTTACCTCGCATCCAGCGCCGAGCCACAACTCGCCGCCGGATAAGTGTGTGTTGTGTTTGCTCAAATGCTGCAAACATTCAATACAGCGCTTCTACTGGCAAGTGTAAGCAACTACAGAAAAAACTAGTCTTTGCAAGCCACAGCGGGCGAAACGCACCTAAGGGATAGTCTTGCTGGCAGTGCGGAAACTGCAGCGCTGCGCGCCCGACAATTAAACCGTATAGCTGAAGATGCGGTGCACCTCACGGCAGTCGACGCCTTCGGCTCCGTTTCGCACGTGGGTACCCTGAACGCAACGGCTACGGCCGGGAAAGCAAACTGGGGAGATTATTTGCTGGTATTTCTTCAGTCTGCGCAGGACCAAGTCGCGCACAGTAACGCATTCGGTAGCATTTTTGTCGAAAATGCACTGCAACTTGCACTGGAGTATTTCTCGTATCTCGGATCTGATCCCACGCTTCTGACGCCAACTGCAGGCGCGTGTTCGAGATCAGGCGATTGCGCTGTAGGGCTAGCAGCACTTTCCGCAGCACAAAAAGTCGCAGCTCGATTGCAAGCTCAGCGCAACCAACAACAAGGTAGCACAGTAAATGAGAGCAAGCAGTTGACCAGTTTCCGTCCGCTTAGCAGAGAAACGTTCAGAAAAACGCGCTACTTAGCGTAACATACAGCGGTATCTTGTCGTTGCATTGAGACATTTTTGGGATAAAGCTGTTTTCCGATTGCGCCTGGCGATTGATTTTCCACTTTTTGCGCGGGACGTAAGAAGCGGTTTGCAAAAGCAAGTACTCGCAATGTGACGTTCAAACAGGGATCGGGACAGTTCCACTAATGTCTACCGAATCCATCGTTCGCTTGAGCGTACAGCTATTCATACAAGGTTTCGCGCGGCTGTCGTTCGTGTAACAAGGTCGCGTTTGCTTCACAACCTACGCTTCAGGAGATGGTGAAAACTGGGTTCGGCAGGTTTATAAGTATATCTGAAGGATCTGCTGAAAGTTACAAAAGTACAGTAGCAACACGTTTATCGGTGCTTCAAAGAGATGGACACGTTGATTAACAAAGGTTCACTATATATAACCGTGTCAAACGTGCATTCTTTCAATTCGAACAATATCAGAATGCGTCTGTTTGCCGAGCGATCTCCTTACAGAAGAACCGTGCAGAACGACGTTTATATAGCCGAATCCAGCTGTGGGACTCTTTGAAGCTATTTCTTCGCAGTCTCATGCGCTCTACATGTTGCTTAGATATTTGCCACAGCAGGCAAACATTTTCCAGCGTATTCTCGCTTTACGACTCGAGGATCATGCAAATGAAACAACTGCAAATCTATCTCACTGCAAAATCAAGTTTGTACGGCGCGCTAGGGGTCAACTACGAAGCGCATCGCAGAAGCTGCTAGATCGTTCTTAACGTCCCGTTTGACCCGTCTGATTTTGGCTTGTCGCCTAACGGCCTCGTGATTAAGATCTCCGGCACCGAAATTACAGCAGCAGAGTATGCTGAGTACACTTACTACAGACAAAATTCTGCGCACACGCTGAGTGAGTTTGTCGATTCTGAGCTTGAGAGCTAAAGCACGCAGGGGGCGTACCGTCGTGTGTTCGTACGCGTCATTGCTTGCTGGCACAGCGTTGTTGAGACACTTGCTCGAGTTCTTAACCGCAAACGCAGGCGTTTCGCTGCCTGTGCGACGCAGTGCGGCGGGTCCTTTCGCTTGTGACTCCTAAAGAACTAACGAATCTGCGTTTTTCAAAGGACTGTCGACGTTTCACCTCAAAATAACTTGAAACGAACAGCGCATTATGTACCTCACCATGGCGCACGCCTTTCGTCCGCCGCAAAGTATTTGCAACCAGACCGTGCATCGGGTTCTGTACAGTTTCCGCTTTTTGGTTTGTTATCACGCAGCTGAGTTCTCGCATCTTCCACTCGCGCTAGATGGCCCAGCCATTCAACGACACAAGACTTTTGCAAAAACGTACCAGAAGCGCGTGGGATTAACGCAGCGAATGGGTGCCTGGGCCGCTTCGTAATTAGCTATTGAACATTGCCGGTGGTCGAGGTCCAATTGAACACATCGCCTGGCTGCACGCGCTCAACTTTCTACAGGGCGTAAGATTTGCGGTGAAGCAGTCCGTGGGTCCCGCCAGAACCGTGTCCATAGACCAGGCGCATGATCACTTCGCCTGAGATGCGGATAGAGTTACTTGCGCCACAATGTTAACGACGTCTAAAATTCCTGGATTGACACCGTGTGAGTAATTGTCGGACGCTGCATACCGGGAGCCGTAGCTCATATTAGGCTCGGCAGATACAATATGCAGAGCATTTTAACAGTAACAACGCACGTGTGCCGTTGTTCCGTTGTAGTGGAGTGAGCGCACGAAGGGCGCCTAGGGCGCTTGTTTAGACTGAGCATAGAACAGCTGCGAACTGCAGCGCACTCTTACAATGAAGCTTACGTAGAGGCAGTTACGACACTGTTATGCTAACTGACTTTTCTGCGGCTATGTGTACTCGAGAAACAAGCCTGAAGATGCCCCGTACTACGCACAAAGCAACAGACTCTCAGCATGTCGTCGCTGAACGAGCTTAACTCGCGTCCACACGACTGCTCGCCTTCGCGCACGATTACACGGTGACACACACAACGCACTCTACGTTGGAAGGTTTCGGCAGCGACGCGGGAGTTGCACGGGCGAGCTGTATTCGCACTGAGTCTACCGCAACCTCGTTGACGTAGCGGAAAACACAGTTCGCCTCCAAGAGTCGTGTTCGAGTACTGAAATAGCCAAGCTGTGGCTTAGATAAGCTCCGTCGCACAGCACTGATCTTCGCCGACACACGCGTGTTCGCAGCAGACTGCCCGCTGGCGCCGCAACAAAGCAGCTCCTTTCTGAGGTTCCAGCGTTTAACTGGGCTCGAATCAATTATGTAATTAGCGCACGTCTGCGTGTGAGAAATATTAATTTTAGTTAAGACTATGAAAAACGTGGTCGTCTTGGCGTTCAGCGCTTTGCTGCTGCAGTTCTTTGGGCAGCGCGCATCGTCACTGGCGGTACCTAAACCAACTTTTGTTCTAATCGAGACGCCGCCGTTGCCGGATTGCAAGTGCTCGACCGATAACCACTTATTGCACGATTTGCAGGCTGCGATGAACGTCCAGAACCCAGACTTTGTGAGTGATTCGTACTTGGTGGCTGCGTTCGCGAAAAAGCTGCTTTCTGCGTTCTTCAGCGGCATCATGGGCGACAGCTATTATTACGAGCCGAACCAATTCCTCGCGAATTACGAACGTACGTTCACTGGTTTGACGCCGCCTGCCGAGAGCCCTGCGCAGCGCCTTGATGTAAACCCTCTTGGGAAGTACGAATCGATATTAGAGGAAGAGTTGAAGACTATTAATAGCTGCATCGCGGGGAGGTATTGCGAGAACGCAGAAGTGCTTTCTAAATCGCAAGTATACGAGTTTCGGCTAATAAACGATAAATGGACGGAGTTTGAAGCGTATTATCATATCAGCTACCCACTGCTGCATGCGCAAGTGCAATATCTCTCTAGACTGTTCACAAACGAAGAGGTTCTCGCAAAGGTGGTCGAAACACGTCAGCAGCATAAGTTTGACATGGACCATGCGCAGTTAAAATCGCTGATGAGCGCACGCTTTCAGCCCATCGATCAGTTCGTCAACGCTCCGCAAATGAATAGGGTTATGTTTGCAGTGCTGCGGCGAATGCGCTTCCGCTTCAACTGGTTTTCGCTGTTGAGCGTGACTTTTGACCAAGACCCAAACTTCCTGCCAGACGTGCTCCACAGCTTTAGCATGTCCAACAATCAAAACTGGAATTCTATAAACGATACCTGCGCATTCATACGTACGATTCGCTGCACGTTGATGTGCAGGTTCCGCTTGTTCAACAAAGAACACTACCTCCTCACCAACCGCAACTCTATCGCAGCGCTGCGGCAGCCTGACAACGCGTTTTTCAAAAGCCCGCTCGCCCAATATCATGAATTTCGAAGTCTGCCGTTCCGTTCGCTGCCTCTCTGCGAGCTGTACGACAACCTGTCGCAGATGGAAATCGATCACCTCGCCTTTCTCGACGCAGCAATGTTCGAAGGCTTCGACGATTTTGCTGATGACAAACTGAATATTTCGATGCCGTCGGTAGCCTTCGATTACACGATTGTGAAGCTTATCAGCTACCAATACAGCATCCGGAAGCCAGACAGAAAATACGCGCTGCTGATGCCTTTACACAATGCCCTCTACGATTCAGAAACAATAATGTCACCCTTCGCGTACTTGGCGAAACGCGCTGAAAACGAGTTCTTGATCGTCATCCGCGGTACGCGCGAACCAATCGACTGGATTACCAACTTGACTTACGAGCCAACTCCGGTATATGGTATAAGTAATGTTGGCTCCATCTCCTATGAGCGCGTGATCGGCCGTGCACACGGGATGTTCACTTACTACGCCCATCGGCTTGCGGCTACAATCTTTCCAATGTTCCTAGAATTCGAACAAAGAGATTTGAATGTGGTTATTGCAGGCCACAGCCTCGGCGGCGCCGTGGCTCAAATTTTGGCGCTCCAGCTAAAGGAATTCATTTCTTATCATTTTACGACGTCTTACAGCCGTGCACAGGTAAAAATACGCTTGTACACCTGGGGCTCGCCCGCGGTGTTCGTCGCCGAAGACGTTGATGGCTTCGTTAGCGAAGTTGAAGTAACCGAGTACCACCAGACGTACAGTCTCGACATCGTGCCGATGCTGCCGCCCCAGTCCGTTGCGTTGCCCGATTGCACAAACGAACTCAACCCGCAGTACGTGAGCTACCGCGCAACGAAGCCAACTTCGATGATTGAAGACGCCTGGCTGGAAGCGATCAACCCGGCATACGTCAAACCGTACTCGAGGGTCTTCGACTACTCAGTTTCGAGTCTGGCGCTGAACGCCCTGTCACTCATCGTGCCTCGGCAAATGCAGTTCGTCAAGAACCACACGTGCGCTTACTTGTGTGGAAACCTCTACGCGGCAGTTAGCGACAGAGAATGTCTGCGCGGCTTCTGCGACCAGTGCTACGGATTGAGTGACGGCATATCGGTGAACTGAGCAGATCTGCGGCGCTGCACCCGCTGCTGCGCGAGCGGCTCGCGCGCTAAGCGGTCGCAACGGCCACTGCGGGCGTAGCGGCACGTTTACTTTCACTTTTTACTTTCTCCTGTATCGTTTTCGTCAACCAACGCACGGCTGCTGGAGCGGTAGTTGCCGCCTGCAGCTTGCGCAAGATGGCCAAGTCCACACGCGCGAGCACGCAGGCGCCAGGTGCAGCGGCGCACGCTTGTTGCAAAAAGCCGGCGCAAACGCTGGCGAATCCGTCGCTGAGCGCAGGCGCCGCCAGCACGCCCTCCGCCACGAGCGTCACAAGCTGTCCGCGCTGTTGCTCCGTCAGCGCGGACGCAGCCGAGAGAGGCTCCGACGCAGGCGTCTCCGCCACTTGCGCTGGCTGCGGGTGGGCACGGCTCACGAACGCTTCGCGCGCGTTGAGCAGCTGCAAGAAGCACGGCGCCTCCGGCAGCGTCTCGAGCTCCGCGCTGAGAATGCGGCAAATGAACTCAAATGTCGCGACTTGCGCGCAGCTGCGCGCGAGCTCCTCGCCTGCGGCGGGGTCGCCGAGCGCGCGCGCGAGCAGGCAGCCGGCACCTCGCTCGACACTCGCGGGCGCGCGCAGAAACGCGCAGAATGTCGCGCAATGCGGGCGCAGCGAGGCGCGCGCGGCCGCGGGCGTTGCGAGCCACGCGGCGAGCCACGCGCTGCTGCACACGGCTTCGCATTCGTCGGCAAAGCCTGCGGACTGCGCTGCGGCGCAGAGCGCCGGCGCCTCGGAAAACGCCGCAGCGAGCAGTTCGAGCCACGCAGCAGCAAAGTGCAGCCGAATTGGCGCGCGCAAGAACTCCAGAAACAGGTGAAACACCGCGATGCCCGCCACAAAGTCTGCCGAGCGCAAAACCGCGAGACTCGCGGCGCGCACGCCGGCGCGCGCCGCCGCGCCGACAGGGAAGCAGCCGAAGAAGAGCGCGAGCTGCAGCCGCCGCACCGCGCACGGGTCGACTGGCGCGGCCGCGACCGCGGCGAGCCGCAGCAATGCACTGTCCAGGAAACGCGACCCCAACGCAGCCATCAGCGCAGAGTCTGCCGGCCGGTTCGCCGCCGCAAAGCCCAGTGGCACATCCGGCGCCAGCGCCACGCCGCAGTTCAGACGCCGGCTAAAGTAGTCGCGCGGCTCGGCCAGCAGAGCGAGCAGCGCAGAGAACTGGTCGAGCAGCGCCGAGCGCACAACCCGCTCGATGACTTCCAGCAGCACGTCCGCGACGCCGTCGGCGCAGCAGTCCGCGGAAACGGCGAGAAAGACGAACAACGCGACAGGCAGAAAGCAGTGCGTTTCGACGCTGTGTACAAACGTTTGGCTCGTCAGAGCCAGCACCAACACGCCGACGGCCGGCGCCTCCACGCGGAACAGCGGCGGCTGTGCCGCGACGCCTGGGAACAGCGCATGGAGCGGCTGCGCCGCGCGCGCACCCAGGCAGTCAAACAGCTCCGTCCAGAGCAGCCCCTCGCTCACCGCCTTGTTTAAAAACTTGCAGCCCGCCTCGCGTAACGCAGGCGCCGCATCGGCGGCCGGCAGCTGCTGCAGCAGAAAACGCTGCACGTCCAGTTCTGCGTCCAGCGCTTGCAGCGCAGAGTACGTTGGCTCGTAGTAGAAGCGAAGCAGCAACTCCTCGGCGCTCTGCGACAGTTGAATCATTGTTGAAACAATTATTGTGGCGTCAGAAAAGTTTCTAATTTCGTGCCACCCTTTATTGTGCGAACGATCAGCTTCAGGTTGTCTGCGTCCGCGTCCGCGCGCGTCGGCGCCTCTGTCGGCGCGCGCGCAGGTAGGCTCTGGTTGAGCGCAACGACCGCGCCGCTCACATACTCGTCAACTTTCACGCGCGTCTGCGCCAGCAGCGTCTTCAGCGAAGCGAGCCGCGGCGCCGCAAACGCTTCAGTCGCGTCCGTCGCGTCGGCGCCCGCGCTGGTGGCCAGTGTGCGCGCGATTGAATTCAGTTCGCTCACGTCGTAGGTCGGACACCAGGGCGCCACAGAGTAGAGCGCCAGCACGTCTGGCAAGTGTCCGACGGAGAACACGTGGAAGACGGCGCTAATCGTGCGCATCTGCTCCAGCACCTGCGGGAACGCTTGACGCCCGACATCTGCGCAGCTAAAGCCTTCGCAACACTCCGCAATGCTGCGGAAGCTGTTGAAGAACGGGCGCAGCAGCTCTGCGGCCTGCGCCACGACAGCTCGCTCGAGCAGCTCCACGTAGCCGCCGCCCGATTTTTCGATCATTCGCTAATTTTGCGAAGTTTCGATATTTCGATGTTAAATGGTCAGACTTCGAACGCGGCGCACCTGGCCAACTACCACCGCTTGCGCGCGCAACTGCTAAAGGAGCGCGGCGAGACGCGTGCGCTGCGCTTCGTCGCGGCATTAGACGTCGCGGCGCGCGAACCGACCTGGCACTTCGTGCTGCGCCTGCGAAACGGCCAGTTGGCGCACGGCCTGCTTGTGTTCAACCGCGCCGGCGCCGCGAAGTTCATGTTTGGGCCGCACAGCGCCGACGCGACGCAGCACGAGTTCACAGACGTCGAAGAGCTGCGTTCGCGCCTCGCGCCGCCGCAGCCCGCGACAAAGCTGCTGCAGCAGCTACTCGGCGTGCTGCGCCGCCACGGGCGCACCCCAGCGCGCGCCAAACACGCCGACATCGCGGAGCTGCTCGAGCAACTGCACGCGCACGCGTGGGCTGTCGACGCTCCGCCGACTGCCGCCGCCGCGGTGCGCTGCAGCCACTGCTACGCCGAGTACAAAGCCTGGAAGCTCGAAGACGTGGGCTTCGCGCTGCAGCCCGAACTCCGCGCGGCCGACGCGATCGACTTCGAGTGTAAGTTGCGCGCACCGCTCCGCAGACGAAAAGGTCCGCAGAGAGTCCACAAAAGAACAGCAAGAGCCCCGGCTGTTCGGCATTTCCTGCGAAGACGTGGGCGTCGGGCGCTTCGTGCTGCTGTATTTCGCGTGCCTGCTGAAACAACTTCTCATTGACGCAGACGAATTGCTCCGCGGGTGCAGCATACTTCGCGGGCTTCTGCTGGGCGCCGCCTTTGCCTGTGCAGCGCTTGGCGCGTCGCTGCTTTGGCTTTAATTGCGCATTTTCGCGCGAAATTGCGCCGCGCAAATTTAGTTTTTCTGCGGCTGCGCATGAAGCCCGCTGCGCCGATCTTTCGCAGCTTTTCCGGCTACGTGCCGAAGGCAAAGCGCCGGGAGACGGCTGCCGAGCGCGAAGCGCCTTGTCCTGCGCCGCCGCCGGCACCGCCACCGACGCCGCACTGGGTTTGCGATCCAGCGTGCTTCAGTCTCAATCTGCTAAACAACTGCATTTTGGCAGGAAACAACGCGCTGCTCGATGTTTTTTTCACGCGGCCGGACGCGCCGCAACTGATCTGCGCAGTCGACAAGAAAGGGCTCACTTCGCTGCACGCAGCGCTGCTCTCCGGCAACTTCCATGCTTTCAGCCTCGTGCTCGCCGCGGTGAGCCGCTTCTCTGGCAGCGTCGCTTTCAAGCTTACGCCGACTCGCGCTGCGCGCAGACACATAGAGGGCGCCGCGAACGAACTCGCAGACCTTTCCGAAGCGGAGCGCCGCAACGCGTGGCAGCGCCGCTACATAAACGTGTTCTGCAAACGCCTGCACCCGTTGCGGCTTCTGCTCAGCGCGCTGTACGACACCGCGAAACACGCGGGCGCACACGACATTCTGGAGTGCATTGCGTTGGCGCGCGCCAACGCATGCACCGCTCCCGCCAACCGCATCGCTGCCGTGTTGGAGAACGAAACGCTGCTCAACTTGCTCCGACTCTTTGCGCTGTTCGAGTGCGACGGCGACGGCTACAGCGTGGCTACGCGAGTGCTCGAGGCCGGCCTTGCACAACCCGCGCTGGCAGCGGTGCTCGCGAGCGTCGTGCGCAGCGCCGCTCGTGCGCCGCACGCCGTGCTCGACTTCGAGGCGCCCGTCTCGCGCGAAGCCGCACTCTGCTTCGCGTGCGCACAGCTCGACGCTGCGCCGCACCCAGAGCCGCCCTGCTGCGAAGGTTTCGACGCTGACAGCCTCGCAAGTCCTGCTGCCGCGCGGGCTTCGACCAGCACCCGGCCCGAGACGCTCGTCTTCTACAGCGAAGAGTGCGAGCAACACATGGTTGAAAACGTTTCGAGCCTCGACCGGTTGTTGGGATCAATCGCTCAGTATCCCGAAACGTTCTACCGCATGCAGGTCTTGTTCAACGACAGTTTCGGCGTGTTCCGGCGCGACAAGCGGTTCGAAAACTTCCATTTCGTCGACGTGCGTTCGAAAGCGCCTCTCGCCGACATCTTGCGCGTGCACCACGCAGGCTATGTGAACTTTTTGAAAAACACTGTTGCTCTTGCAGCCACCGGCGAACAAGACTCGGTCCCGATTGACGGCGACACGGCGGTCTCACAGCACAGCTTACTCGCGTCCGAGTCTGCTGTAGCGTGCGCAATTGCGGCCGTGGCTGCCGTATGCCGCGGTTACTACGAAGACTCCGAACAGCGCAGATTTCCGGTGCGCAACGCGTTTTGCGCCGTGCGTCCACCAGGCCACCACGCAGGCGTCTACGGCGCTGCAGAGTTCGCCGACCTGTCGCTTCTGAGACAGGCCAAACAACAAGGCTCGCAGGGCTTCTGTCTGTACAACGCCGTCGCCGTCGCGGCGGCGTGGGCGCGCTACAACCTCGCAGACGCAGGCATCAAGCGCATCACGATTCTCGACTTCGACATTCACCACGGAAACGGCACGCAGCAAATCGTGGAGGCGTTACACTGTAAAGAAGCCGTCGTGGCGGACGTGCTGAATTTTGCGCACAACAGCTACATTGCCTTCCAGCTGCATCAGAGCGACATGCGCGTCTGGCTGAACGAAGAAGACAACAACGACATTCAATTCATCTCGATGCACGGTTTCGACGGACAGTTTTACCCTCGCTCCGGCGGGCCGGCGCCGACCAAGCCGAACATCCACAACGTACCGATCGCCAGCGGCGCTTCCGAGCTCGCCTGGCTAGAGCTGCTCGACAACAAAGTGCTTCCGCTCATTTACGAATTTAAGCCTGACTTGCTGCTGCTCAGTGCAGGGTTCGACGCGCACTTGACAGATCCCATGACGCAAAACTTCGGTTGCTTGAGCGAGCGCGGCTTTGCCGAAATGACGCGCCGCCTTCTGGCCGCAGCTGACGAGTTGTGCGCCGGGAGGCTTGTGAGTGTGTTGGAAGGCGGCTATAACTGTGCGCTGGGCAGTGCTTCGCCTTTCGCGCAGTGCGTGGCGCGCCACGTCTCGGCGCTGGCGCGCGGCTGACAGCTCACAAGTTGCCTACTTGACCTTCGACCTGGCCGATGAGTTGCGTCGCATTGATAGCCTTCTGGTGTTGCACCACCACTGAGGAGCATTCGTCCAAGTGGCTTTTGGCCAAGTAGACCACAGCCGCTTGCACCATCGACAGCGACGCAGCGGAAAGAGACGCTAAAGAATTGCGCACGTACAGCTTGACGAGCTCGAACTGCTCAGGTGCGCTTTGCAGCGAGCGGCTGCTTAGCCTGCTGAAGTCACTTTGCGCGTCGCGACACACAGCGCCGAACTGGCTGCTGAGCGCGGTTATTTTCCGGTTTTGCTCGCTTAACGCAGTCGCCAAGTTAAAGTGCTCGCTCTTGTAGTCCTCGTGAAGTTGTGACACGTTCTGCAGTTTGCTCTCAATTTGGCCGCTGCTGCGCTTCGCCGCCTGCAGCCGCTGGCTGTACTGCGTGGCCGCAGGCGTGATCGCTAGGCTTGAAAGGAGAAGCGCCGCGCTTTGACTGCAGTTTGTCCGCTTCTGGACTGTGCTTCGCATACCGAGACCGCGACTGTTTTGTAATTGTTTATCTCATAAATGACTCACATCATTTTTCCGTGTATAAAATTTTAGTGCGGTCCGCTAGTCTCCGCCATGCAAACGCCCCTGCTCGTGTTCGGTTCAATCGGCTTGTCGGTTAACGGTGCTCTTCTTATAGCTACGTTCTTTTACTTGGTTCCTCGGTAGGTTGCGTGTTTCGCCACTAGATACCGAAAACTCAACAACGCAAACGCGCCTCTGCTTAGAAGCATTTCGAGCGACGCGCCGTCCGAGAAAACGATCAACGAGTCGATTTACTGCGCCTCGAGTCCGTACAACAACTCTAACTACCTGCCGATTTGCCCGCCTCCACCCAAAACGTTCGAGTACTCTTTCGCTTCGAAGTTGCGAAACTTGCTTAGCAAATTCACGAACTCGGAACTGCTTGCTTTCAAGAAGCTGTGCAGCGAGCAAGAAAGCAACAACCCTGTGCGCCCAACAAAGAAGCCTTCGAACGACTGTCTGGTCGAAGACTGCACTTATCCGTACCTGACGGACGCCGCAAAGGTCGGCGAAAACGCATGCGCTTCAAAGCACTTCAACGATTCGCTTATGCTTACTATTTAGTCAGCGCACCGCGCTGATTTAGGTTTTTCAAATTTTCGCACTAAATCGCCATGCGCTGTCATGCTCGCTTCGATTCTCGGAGTTAAACAAGTCAACTACGTCCTCGCCGCAGCGCTAGCGCACTGCGGGCTGTTCAGCGCTCTGTGGTTCGGGTTCTATTGCGCCAGAAAAGTTGCTGAGCTCTACAAGCGCCACCGGCAGCTCGAAGAGATCGCCGAACGGATTTCTAACCTCGAGCGAGTATTGCACAGTTTGGAGGTTCGTGGAAGCGTTGATCAGCTTTCCACTGTGCCTGCTGCAACTCGGGACAAGAACGAAAAAGTTCAGCGCTTTTCACGTTTGAAAAAAACAGCGGCGTGCGCCTTCACAAAAGCAAGCCACCTGCTCTGCCGCTGTATCGCTTTCATACAGCCGATGCTGTGTTGCGCGCTAGACTTGTGTTTTTCCGCAGCCACGCGTGTCGCGGCAAACCAGCAGACTCCGAGATTGCTAAAGGCTTACTCCTCAAACAGTGCAAAACCGTGCTGCACAACTATTGCGGAGTCGTACGCAGCAACTTTCGCTCCGCCGCGTCACGCCGGTTGCTGCAGAGGTTGCACTTCATGCACTGTCGCACAGTCTGGCGCCTGTTTCTCTCCTGCCGCTCTCTCGCAACGAACATACCGTGCCACACTTACTATCTCTAAACTCGGACGCTTGCTTCCTCCAAAAATTCAGGATTCTGTTGTCTCGCTATTAGCGATTCGCAATCTCTTTAGACTTAACTCCCGTCGAAGAATCAATCGTTTTTGCAGTTTTCTTCAGGAGAGCGCGAGTTCTCTTGAATGCTCACTGCTGTACGAAGCTATTCGCAAATCTACTCCACGAAGCGAAATTTTTGCGAAATACAGTCGCTTACTGGGGCGATGCCGCGCGCGAAAATTGGCGGAACAACTTCACTGCGCGCAGGATATTTGTAGCAAGCCAGAGAACGATGTCGTCATAACTTTCAACGACACACGCTATCTCAGTGTCATGACACTCCCTAGCAACTCAGAACACTGCGAAGCAGATTTACAATTCGCGTCGTGCGATTATTTTTTTGGCATTCAAGGAGCCGAGCAGAAAATTTAGGCAGCACAAACAAAGGACTAAGATGTGATCTGGCTCTTTAAGTCAGTTTAAGTGTTTTTTTTATTTATTTATAACAGCAAACCCAAATATAGTTAGTAAAGTCTAGTTTACCGTGTCACCACATTGTAGAAATAATCCGTAATCGAAGTTTTTTGTCTTTGAAAACTAAAACTTACAAAAACGCAAAAACTTACTTTGTCTATTTCTTCTCAGCAATCTCAAAATTATACGCTGTTCGCGCTTGTCGCGGCTTCCGCCCTCCGAAGTCTGCGTGAACGTGAGCTGATGCTGTAGTTGTGCTGAACACAACGCGTTTTGCTGCGGAACAGCTAGCTTTGTCATGCTACCGCCAATCTTTGCGAAAGCAGCGCGTGTTCGGTGGTAAGATTGCCCTCGTGTAAACGAGCTATATCGGAAAAACTGGATGCTGAAGGGCGTATTAAAGTGGTTTGCACCAGTAATGGATACGATTGCTCCGCGCATACCTCCGACTGCAATCCGCACGGTGGCGCAGGCCAGCAGATTTCGCGAAGGCGGGTCGCGCTGAAGCGCGGTGCGAACCGCTTTTTGTGCGGTAGACAAACTAGCATGGCAACGCTGTCGACAAACGCGTTCAGCTGTGAAACGGCAAGTCGTGGAGATAACAGCGAGTTATAATCACGCGTAGATTGATTTACATTTCTGCAAATTATATGGCTGTCATCGCACTGCGCGCGATTATGCAGCCAATGGACTACGTTCTGTTTACTATCGCTTTGAATAGCATTTTCATTTGCTACTTCTTTATCTTCGTTGCAGTCGCTATACAATGAATTGGGGTAGAACAGAAATAAGTCAGAACTTCAATCGGTACTTCGTAGGACTGCGGAGAAGATTCGCAGCGGAAACTGGGCGCGTATTTTACAAAGTTGACACAAGCAGGGAAAGCGAAATGAACGAGCAAGGAAAAGTAAAGGAAAAGGGTTTTTACGTACATGTGAGTGCGTTGGTGCTCGCCTAACTGACAAGCGCTGAGTATGCGCAGCTGGTAACATAAGCAGGCAAAAAAATTTCGCGACAAACATGAGCAACGAGCGCAAACACTCACAGCGATCGACTCAACAAGCGAGCTGAGGCGGGAGTAAGTGCAAGCAAAACTTCGAATTTTATAGCACATTATTAATTATCTTCGCCCATTTTTAGTGATATACATTAATCGACGCTGATTAGGTATGAAGAACAGATTTTTCCGCGGCTATGGACCAAGCAAGAGTGCTGCGGAAGAGCACTTTAGCTGGGTGAAGTTGCTGCTCCTATCCGCGTCTCCTCTTGGTGATTCCGCCGGTAGTCCGCCCAGTGAAAATTCTGGCATCGCTGGCTCGACTCCGACCAGTGTTCTGCAGTTGTCAAAACCTTTGGTAGTGTTACCGGCTACTTCTGAAGAACCTACCGTCTCTGAACTCATTTCTGCTGTGCAGAGTGAAATCGCAAAAAGTACGCATTTGAATATCTCGGAGTCTACGAAGTGCACCTGCCTTGGCTCGCAAGCAGGCTTCATCCGAGTGCTTCCGGTGTCGCCGTTCAAGCCGCCGCAGGCTCTTTGTTGGTTTCTCTTAGACGATACCTACACTGCTTTCACCCAGTTGTGCAATGCAGCCGACGCTAAGGAACTGGAAGTTCTTTTCTACCTGTTGAAAGAATCTTCTCTGGGGATTTTTGAGTTTCGGCAGGAGAGTGCTTGCGTTTCAATTGTTGACCATCGACTGCTCATGCACGTGCTGGAGCCATCGTTTAAGAAAAGATTTCCGGAGTTTTCGTCCTGTATTGTGATGGAACTGGCTGGTCGTTACTGGAAGACGAGATCTATGTATAGGCGATTGGCTGGCGGTAAAATGGAGAAGCTGATATACGTTACTGTTGAAGCTTTTGATTCTCTCCTGAAGCATGTGGGCAAAGATCTTTACTTAGAGGCTTCGCCCAATAGCTCGGTAAAGGCCGTGTTGGACACCCAATTAGGTAGTGTACAGTCTTCAGTCAATTCACTAGGGATGACGCGTAATGTAAATGTGGATAGTAATACAATGAACAGAGATCCGTGTTGTTTAGGAGGCATGCCGTTCTCTACGTCGCAAGCACAGAGTTTGGGATGTGAACCGCATTCTGCTCAACAAACAGCACCGTTTACCTCTCCTGCTGCCAGCCGAAGCATGTTTTTGAATCCACCTGTCGGTACTCAAGATCCGTTCCTGTGCTACCCTGTTGACGAATGGTTTACCACTCAGGAGGATGATCAGCAGTTGTTTAATGCAATTAACGAGACTCATTGCATAGGTACGACTGAGTATAATCGTGCTGCGTCTCGAGCAACTAACGCTTCGCTAGAATCGCAGCAGTCGGTCGCTGCTGGAAGTGGCGATGCGAATCTTGGTAACTGCAATGAAGACCACGAAAATGTACCACTAGTTCAGTCAAGTATGCAGAGCTCTGCTTCGACAGGATTAGCTCCGTCGATGCAGAACAGTGTTACTCAGCATGGTTTAGTGTTGAGCAATACGGCTGAACCCCCCACTACTGATGCCGAGAGCGCCAGTACGTCTTCTGCTGCCTGCAAAACGAGTTCTGGCGTTCTGCATGGTATCGGAAGCAGCGAATCTGCGACTGCACAATGCATTGACCAAATTTTTCACGATGTTGATGAGAACGTTGTTAATGTGAACGCTGCTGGTACGAACGATGCTAATGAAGACGTTATTATTGAAAACGCTGCTGGTACGATCGTTGCTAATGAAGACTTTGAAGAGGAACGAGCGATGCTCAGCGATCTAAAGCTTTCTACTGGTGAAACGCCGGATATGTCCTGTATCGAATTGTATCCAATGACGAACGACTGTCTATCCGCTCAATCATTGGGTTCTAATACTCTGTTTGACGCTAGGCAAGCTGAACCAGTTTACTCAGGCGCTGGGCGCTCGGATGAATATGCTTCTGACGCGTCAAACTTCGCTGCTGCTTCTTTAGGCAGCGATTCAACGCGCGGATCTGCTGCGCCGAGTACAGGTGTTTCGTGCAAGCTGAGCAGAGAGTCGGATAGTTGTGACTTAACCGAACACACTGGCGAGTCGACTAGCTTTAACGAAGTAGTCACCTCGAGTGGTCATTCAGAATCTGCTGCCGTTCATTGCAACACTTCTATACTCACTCATTCTTCTGCAATCACCGAACCTGTGCTTTCAACTTCGACCAACATCATTTCGCGCGAATCTAAGCAATTAGAGGAAGAAATTTCTTGTCCTACGAACGACACGGATAAGTTTTCTAGTTTTTTGAGTACTAGTCAGCCTGCTGATACACTGAGAGGTGATGAGAACCGAAACTCATCTACTGTGCCTATACCTGCGTCTGGTTTAGTTACTTCTACACAGAACGAGCCAGCTGAGGTGCTTAACGGTTTACTAATTCAACAAGCTCATGAAACTCCAAGCGGTTTGAGTGATACAACTAATAAGGTGGATGAATCAACTTCATCTGAACTGCTCGATAGCTCAGATGGCGTGTCTAGAAATCCTGAAACGGGAATGCGTTGCACTGTGATTCATGCCAAGAAGGTTGGAGTACCGTTGCGGAAACGATTCTTAGAAAAGACTGAAAACAGGTCATTTTTGTCTAGGCTTCCCAATGTCTTTAAGAACAGGATTGTGAAGAAAAGGTACTACACCGGTAGGCGCAAACCGAATTCGAGAGTGCTCAGAAGACCACGGCACGCTGTTAACCGCTCTAAATTTCTACGTAGAGGACTTCCCGTTAATAAGCGCGACAAGCAGTCAGATTTGAAAGGCACTTCCTCGATCGTCTCCATAAGAGGTTCCGTTGACTCTGATACTAAAACTTCTTCGCTTGGGTATTCGTCGGAAAGCAATGCGAAGCGGGTTTCACAGAGTGCGCATAATACCATAGCTTCCATTCTCCCCTCTGAACAATCTGCTAATGCAGCTGTCAAAGCTTCTGAAGAAATAGTGCAGACGCAGCACATAGAGAATGTTTCGAATGCAGCTGCTAGTTCAAATGATTGCTCCTCAAGCGCTGAGTACAGCCCGCATGCTAGTTTTGACATTACTCCTGACGCTGGATCATCGTATCTTGCTGGATTGCAAAAGCCGAATAGTGCAACCTGCGCGCAAATGGATGAACATGGCAATTCTTTGGTGGAAAAAGTTGACAACAGTGACGATTTGCTGGAGCTACCGGGTGTATCACAGCAACGTGGAGTTGTAAATACTGGGAAAGAGTCCATCGTGGATTTGCCTGAATCAAACGATAACGCTACAAAGACTTTCAGCGTTACTCACGTCTCTGCACTGAATCCCGATGATGAGATGCATCAGGACGAAGGATTAGAGGCTTCCACAACTGCCCAGTCCTTGATTCCAAACTCTAACTCGGCATTTTCAGAGCTTACCATGTCATCCCAGAGTGTAATTAACAAAGAACATGCAGTCGAATCGTCGCTTGCCAGGTACTTCTTAAATTTGGATCAAGATTGCAATAGGAAGACTTCTGGATCAACTAGAGATGTAACTGTTATTCCGCTGAATAATCCTCAAGGTGCAAATCAAAATGTTGTGCCCAAGCATACGAATTCAGCTGCTAACAGCGAAACCCGAAATCACCGCCGTCCTAAGGTTGAATTCTTAGAAGATGTTGATATCAAATCCTTTGACCCGACATTAGAAGCTAAAGCTTTAAACGATGACCATAACGTTGGTGCCAACTTGTCGCGCAGCAGTTCAACGGCCTCACGCAGACCGTTAAAGAGTATTTTGAAAGAATCTTCTCCACGTTTCGACAGCGGATTGTCCGGCCAGTCGGGGACTTCTGAAAACAGCAACACTGATATACGTAGGTATAGTTCGGCTCCCGATCTCTCTAATCCAATGAAGCTGGACTCGTTGAGAAAGCGAAAAGCAGCCAGTAGCGGAGTTTACAACGATTTTTTCCGGAAGAGTGGAATGGGCAAGGCTCTCTCAGAATCAAGCTTGTCAGATCACAAGCAGTTGAATTTTGATTTTAACGACGATTGTAGAACCCAACAGCGTGCAGACCCACTGCGAACTGGAGAAACGTCACGAGATGTCATGCAACCAACTGTTGCGACTCTCGATAGAGTGTTTACTGTGACGCCTATGATTGCCCAGAACGAGTTTATTGCTGCGTCTGAACGTCAAGAATGTCAGCCTGTTTTGAATCAAGTGCGATCTATGAACGAGTCTGCTGATGATCTGCCTGCGCCTGAATCTAGCGCGTCAGATCAGAAGCACGTTTCGAAACCTTGCTCTTCGCTGAAACCCAGTGACATTCATGAGCAGGACGCAGACAGCCCGCCGCTAGTAACGGAACTAGATCCCGTCAGTAGCACATTTTCTGCAGGAGATGAATGTTATGATGACACAAATACCTTTGGATTCGAGAAATATGACAAGTCCTATGTGAACGAACGCAACTTGTTAGCTCATAGCTTGAAAGCTTGTACTAGAATTTTCCGATCACAGTTGAGGGATGTTGTGATCGACTTCTGTGTTTCTTCCGGCAGAATGAATACCAATATTCTCTCTCTGTACTCACGCTTGTATCGCGCTAACCTGATAGCTGAACATTTCGTCGCTACGTTGCCTACTATTGCGTATGTGACAACGCTACCAAATGAAGTTGTTAGCCGGTTTTTTTCCTCTCTTCGGTCATGCGAACTCGCTATTAAGTGCATGATTGATGTTTGTAATCTGATGAGAAAAAATAATGAAAAGGCTAGCTCGGCAGCTGCCCGTGCCGAATCTGAAATCAATGAGAAACTGGAGAAACAATTCCGTACGCTTAATGGTTTTATCAATTTGATTAACAAGTCTATTGAAGAGCTACATTCATATGAATGTAAAGAACTTTCTAACAGAGCCGCCTTAAAGACTTTTCTTCTCACTATTGAGTCAATAAAGCAACAACTGGAGTGTTTTAGACAGATCGGTAGATTACAACCGGAAACCGGTCATATCAATCGCTCTAGCAGCTTAAAAAAGAAAACGCTTTTAGATCCTGCTTCTGAAAAGATCAATGCTGAAAAAAAATTGGTCGAAGTTGAGGAAAACTCGAATTTGTTGAACGATACGTTACAAAAGTGTATAATCCCTGAAGGTTACAGCCCATCTCTAACGATGGAGCGCGATCTTA